CGTCAAGTCCGTAAATTACTGCTGTTCATCTGTGGATCAAAAGACAAGTACAGACAACTAAAGAGATCTTCATTCTCTTGAATCACATGTCAAGGAAATCAGGTGAGCGAGATTAAAGTACCTTAAGATTTGTTCATTTCATACATCATTCATTGGTGTTCTGATTCCAAATGAAATAGGGAGAAATATATCTCAAGATAGACAGCAATATATATATATATATAAATGCATATAAAAAGTCAGTGCACGTCTTTCAGTATGTAGCAGGCACACCTTAATTGTTTCCACAGATTTTTTGAACTTCTTTTCTGACGAGGAAGGGGTTGAATGTTAAATGCAGAAATAGTGTTTACATGGTGTGTTTAATAAGTACATTTAATGTACTTTGATTTTAACTGTAAATGTATTTCTTTCTATTAGATCTATATGTGAACAAGGTGGTATGGAGAAACATAACATTACTGGTATGCCACTCAGTCTGGCTTATGACACCTTGATAAGTCTGGTAAGTAATCTTTATGTGAACAAGGTGGTATGGAGAAACATAACATTACTGGTACATGTATGCCACTCAATCTGAAAGCTGTGCTGTCAGTGTGAACATTTCAGTGTTTGAATAATGTGAATATAGGAAAATAATTGTTGTTTTTATTTTATTTTAGATTGAACATCTGAAATCCTGTGCCGATATTGCCACATCAAGAACGGTTAACTGGCAAAAGTTTTGTCAGAAAGATGATAGTAAGTTGTTTTTATGGTCTTTCTAATTGTATGTTGTTTTACACATCTGTAACGTGTTTTTCCTAATATTGGTGAACGTGTGGGATATATTTGCAAGGTTGGCAGTGAATAAAATAATGTATATTCTGTCCAGTTGCCTGATTCATGGAAATTCCTATACCTAACTTGTTATCTTTCGACAGCATGACTTTCTCTTTCATTGTCCATACACCTTATTGTTGTATTGGTCTTCAAAATGTCTTGAAAAATGAATTTGCCAACATAGAGCATCCTGTGATTATTTCAACTGATTTATGATTTTTGTTATTTTCCAGCTGTGTTGTACTTCCTCCTTCAAGCTGGCTTTCACTTGGATGAAGGTGTGTCACCAACCTTGTTACAGCTGCTTGCATGTGCGCTGTGTGGTGCCAAAGCAGCTACACAGAATAGTGGTAAACAGAAAAAAGAAAAAGAAAAGGACAAAGAAGGTATCCATATTTATTACAAATAAAGCAAATGGTATTTCAAATAAAAGTAAAAATTTATTATGCATAAAAATTAAAGAATTGCTCTATTAAATAAATGTACCGGATTCGGCTGATACCCCGCCCATCCTAAACCCCGCCCATGGGCGATGTTTCAAATAGTGGGTGATGTTTTGGTCCACACATTGCCTAACTGAACCAACAAACATTTTTACAGACCCCAATTTTCCCGTCCGACATCTTGCATCGAGTGCGCTATTTCAAATATGACGCTAAAAATAATTCACTGTGAAGTCGAAACACGTAAAAATCCAATAAATCCAATGCTGTATATGAATTGTTGTTGCATGAAAAATGGTATATGTTTGTATTTTATGCAAGTATTTATCACCAATTTCAAGAGTAAAAGTCGTAACTTTAGAAGGTACGAGTATTATGGCTCATGAACACATTTCACTTACGTTTATTACACTCAAATAAAATCTGCGCTTGGAATGAATGCCATTTACGAAGTTTGAAATACACAAGCCTTCCTGATTCAGCCTCTTCGTGAATAATGCGTTCGAAAATAATTCACCATTGGGAACATCGATGAATCACAAGACACCTGACTACTATGATTTAAATGCGCCCATGTTTATGTTTGCGTAATTATTACGAGTGCAACGCATTATAAAGTCTGCAATATAAATTACTTGAGTTTGTGTAATTATTATGAAAGCATAACAAATTTGAAATATTCAGAGCCGGTACAATATTGTAAACAAATTTGCATCATTAGAAAAGCAGCGCACCAAGTAAACGATGTTGATATATTCAAAGCCAGGGTTGCAGACAAGTTATGTGATTACAGTATCGTCGGATATAATAACAAGTTTACTAGACCGACGCGCGGAGCACGAAAGAAAAAGGTTGCTACGGTAATGCGCCAGTTCAGTGCATGACTTGGGGTCAAACTTCGGTCAATTCACACTTGATGTCAGCAGTATCGCCGCGCAGCAACAGTTTGTAAAGAAGTACCGTACTTGAAGTTCAATTGCGCCCAAAAGTGATTTCGTTGATTACTCGGTTGTCGCAGCGTGTGTTGTGTCATGTCCATGATTCACCCCGTTTCGACTTTGGCTTGCTTTTCCTTCTTGTTCACGTAATGCTATCACTCACCGATGTATTAAAACACTTTGAATTTATACTTTGCTTGATTATATTTGGTCATTGCGAATCATTATATTTTCTAAACATTTTCTGAGACCATTTTTATCAGTGCAGGGTTATTTTTCCGGACAAGATGGGCTTTGTAATATCTGCCATAACATCGCCCGGGCGATCTTTTGGTCCACATTTTTCTAAAAAATAATCGAATCCTCCATAAGATCGCCCAGGGCGGGTATCGGCCGAATCCGGTATGTCTACAGTCAATATTCTCAGGGGCGAAGCTACTTCAAAGAAGATTTTATGTTTCTACGACTCACACAACTGTACCATGTATTTCTATGGGCTCTGCGTGAGCTGCTGTGGAACGCCACTTGAAGAGCTATTAGGCCAAGTACAGTTTTTTGAGAGTTTTTGACCGCTGTTTTCACCAGTTGTTGCCAGGTGGAGAAAATATCCGGATGTACACTTCCAAGGAGTAATACTATAATGATTCAGCATACAATAAATGCCATTTATGCTTTCAGAGATGTGTTTCTTATTGTGTAAATCTAGTATATGTAGCATTAATTTAATTTTCTTTGCAGCAGTCATCGCTTGGCTTTATATGTATTTGGTGATTGGTTTATTGAGAGAATATGTGTCCAATTATGTTGTTTTCTCTGTAATAGGTGATGAAGGCCACAAGCATGATGAAGCCCTGTGTAATAGCCTTGTACAGCAGCTTAATAAATATGTTGACAGTGACATACTGAGTCGATTTGTACAGTGTTTCTTACTAGAATCCAACAATACTGCAGTTAGATGGCAAGCACATGGTCTTGTATTACACATATTCAAGTAAGTACTGAACACAGTCCTGTCAATTCATACAAATAAAAATCCTGGCAATATTAAAGGCAAAACAAATCACAGATAAGGCTACACAAACAAATCTAGTTCATCGGATTTTTCTTGTGAAAACCTTGGGGTAATGAGCAAATTTTGCATAAAAGTTGAAACAAAATTGATCGCATAGAAAGGAAAATCTATGCAAGGCTATTATATATTGTGTATTCAAGTTGACAACGAAAAGGGTTCTAATAAACGTAATATATTTTCTTCATTTCTAGGAATTCATCTGGTTCTCAGCAGATGATACTGGATCTGATGTGGATGTTATGGCCTGAGTTACCAAACTATGGTAGAAAAGCAGCTCAGTTTGTTGATCTGCTGGGTTATTTTACACTTAAAACACATGCAGAGAAAAAGGTAAAATTAATCAAATCAATTGTTTATTGGTTAGACAATTATTGACTAGTTGATGTGGGTTTTTTTTATCTAATCAATGTAATTAGTTCAAAATCACCCTAATCCAATCAAATGAAATGCAATATAATTTACATTCCAATAATTGAACAATAGCAATTCTTTGAAAGATTACTCGATATTGTGTTATTCAAAGTTGTGCAATGTTTTCAATTTTAGTACAATTCCTGTGCAACACGTATGGAAGTTGAAACAAGAGTGTTTAGCCATCTGAAAAAATCAGTATGAATGTGTTCAGAAGTCTGGTGTACAGATTAAAATGTTCTTATTTGTAAAATATCCATCAGATTTATTCCACATTTGAACACTTCTTTGTTTATTACACCAAGTGCAACAATGTTGCATGTGGCAAAATTAGAATTCCATCATCAGGAATCTTGTAAAATGTTTTTTGTTGGCATTTTGGGCTGTTATACCTCCCTAAATTATAACTACAATCAAGATCAGATATTTTCAAATACCGGTAAAGTTATCACAAGAAACTGCAATGTATGCATTCAGGCAATACAGGGTAGCATCAACTTCATATTATACAACAAACTTGTTTTTTTGTTCTTCTCAATAGCTCTCACTTTTATATAAGATTGCATTTTTTTCCAACTTTTCAGTGAAAAATGAGCTCTATTTTTAAATTTAGCTGAATTCACTTCACGTCGAATAGCCATAGGGTGTCATTGTCATTGTGTCTACCCATGAACCTTTGCGTTTTTAGAATGTGTTATCATGGCCTGAGACTCAATTCCTGCATGTGCGCACCCTCCTGCTTTAATTGATGACTATATAAATGTTATGTTTATGATTAGTTTCAGGTGAATGATGCAGTAGATAAAGCTGTATCTGTTCTCAGAATGCAAAATGAAGTTCTTGCAAACCATCCCAATTCCAATATATACAAGTAAGTGTTATTTGTTTCTACACTCAATTTTGGTTTAAATATGTGCAAAATTTTGGTAATTGTTTTTGAAATCAATAATAAAACTAAATACAGAATATGATACAATTGAAAGATTTTGTAAATGTTAGAATTTTGATTGAAATCATCTCTGATATGAAAATTACCTAGTAATTAATATGCACAAACATATAACTTGAAAATGGTGATGAATGTGTTGGTCATATGCAAATTATCTAGTAATTAATATGCACAAACATATAACTTGAAAATGGTGATGAATGTGTTGGTGATATGCAAATTACCTAGTAATGAATATGCACAAACATATAACTTGAAAATGGTGATGAATGTGTTGGTGATATGCAAATTACCTAGTAATTAATATGCACAAACATATAACTTGTGGAAGGTAACAAATATTGACAATGGTGATGAATGTGTTGGTGATATGCAAATTACCTAATTGACATGCACAGATGGTGGTGGTGAAAAGGGTAAAGCTATGTCATTTTTGAACTAAATTCTGAAAACTACCAGATTTGAGCAATTATTTCTTGCATGGGCTTAGTAATTCTAAACTTGTAAATATATGTAATTAACTTGTATGATAGAACTCATTAACTATGCAAATCATATGCAAAACATCACCCTAAACATGTGTTTGTAAGATATGAAATTTTCTATTTATTTCTCTTCTGTTTTGCTTAAGACAAAATATTATTATATATGTATATACATCATGCCTATCAGTAGATTTTGATTGAAAATTGCTGAAAAGATTTTTGAAATCTGTATCTGGTTGTTATTAATATGCTGAATTATTAATTTTATTCATTTTAGTATGTTATCTGGTCTGGTAGAATTTGATGGATACTATCTGGAGAGTGACCCATGTCTGGTTTGTAACAATCCTGAAGTACCATTTCAGGTAATCACAAAGAAAAATATTCAGTCGATAATGTTTATTTCACTTGTGCTGGTGATCAGTGTAAATTCTGATTGAATTAAATTCTCATATTATCAGTGCAACTTTTGACACAAATTGAAAAATACAGTCACAGGTTTTCCATGCAATCCAACCACTGTTCTGATTGATGATACTCAAATTCCAATATATGTTGATTATAACATGGGCATCCTGTTATCTGATTCATGGAGAGCCAGTCATGTTAGAAATGAAGGTTTACTTTTACAATGTAATAGTAATTTCCTTTTCAGAGCATCAAACTGTCTGCAATCAAAGTTGACTCGCGATTCACGGCTAATACACAGATTGTTAAGCTCGTAAGCACACATACAATATCAAAGATATCACTGCGAATTGGTGACTTGAAGCGAAACAAAATGGTTAGAAGTATCAACTTCTACTACAACAACAGAACTGTGCAGTCTGTAGTGGAACTCAAAAATAAGTGAGTAGAGTAACTGAAATTTGGCTTTTCTGTCTAACCTGCAAGCAAATTAAGAAATGTACACTTTTGATTGGTCACTCGTGATCAATAGACCCGATTTTGAATCCTACGTTGGGTTGAACACCAAAAAGGGTTTACTGCTACCCGGAGCAAGTGTGTGCCACAGACTCAATGGGAAGGCCAATTTCACTGGCTGAGATTCATTCACTAACGGTTGCGACTTTGGGGGAACCTTGGTTAACATCCATGCTTGTGTTTGACCGAGCCTGGTTGATGCTATGATAGCACATTGAATTGCCATAATGGTAAAAAGATGGCCACAATGCCTTGTGGCGTAGGCTCAAACTAGAACATGGTCAACATGTCTTCACTAGCACTTGCAAATTGCACATTAAAAAAAAAGTTAGGAGAAACAACAGTGAAATTTAATGTCACCTGGCACAAAAATAAGAATGTGTAGTTTTATGAGAAGATTTTAATTCACAGCTTTGTTTTCCATAGTGACTGCCCCAAGTACCTTTAAGTTAATATCATGGAGAAAATCCTATGGTATAGACAATGTTAGCATTATAAATCATCTATTTAATCCGTAACATTCTTTTTTGTTTCTAGGCCATCCATGTGGCATAAAGCTAAGAAGTGTACATTATCTGCTGGACAAACTGAGCTCAAAGTAGAATTTCCGTTACCAATAGTAGCAGCTAACCTAATGATTGAATATGCAGACTTCTACGATAACTTCCAAGCATCGGCCGAAACATTGCAGTGTCCCCGTTGTAGTGCCAGTGTGCCCGCTAATCCAGGTGTCTGTGGTAACTGTGGGGAGAATGTGTTCCAATGCCACAAATGCAGGTACAGTGATGTTTAGAATATATGCAGTCTATGACCAAACTCACACCGCTGACAAATGTGACAATTTTAAAAGCACAACAATAAATAACAAACAGCAAATCAAAATGTGAGATATGAAAACAATGATTTCTTTGAAATTTATAACAATCTCTGACAAAGAATAATTAGCATACAGAGTAGTTTGAAGGAATTTCTGCATTTTAGCCACTACCATCTTTAATACTAACCCTTATACAAGAATTTTACAAGAAACGTGTAGAGCATTTGTATGTTTATATTCCTTGTCCAATTCAATCTTTGTTTTTTTTAGAGCAATCAACTATGATGAGAAAGATCCCTTTCTGTGTAATTCCTGTGGATTCTGCAAATATGCCAAATTTGATTATACATTAACTGGCAAACCCTGCTGTGCTGTGGATCCTATAGAAAATGAAGACGATAGAAAAATGGTGAGATGTTCAGATCAACTTGAATCAATTAGGATTTACCAACTAATCGTACATGAATTCTTTAGTGATGTAGTCAAACTTGTGTATAGTGACCACCCAACAGGCTTTATTTAAAATGGTATTCATAGACAGGTGGTGTTCATATGGATGTTGCAAACTCGTATTTTTAGCTCCGCTGTCGACTTTGTCGAGCGGAGCTTATCATACGAGTGA